CAAGTTTCTTGATATATTTGAGAAAGAAGGGTGTAGGATGGTGCCAATGACATGTGCTGAGCATGATAAACATGCTGCAGGTTCACAGTTTATTACACATACAATGGGGAGGGTGTTGGAGAAGTTGGGTTTGGAGACAACTCCTATTAATACTAAAGGGTATGAGACTTTGTTGAATCTGGTGGATAATACTTCTAGTGATAGCTTTGACTTGTACTATGGGCTGTTTATGTACAACAAAAATGCTATGGAGGAGTTGGAAAGACTTGACTTGGCTTTTGAGGCTTTGAAGAAGGAGTTATTTGGGCATTTACATGATTTGTTGAGGAAGCAATTGTTTGGGAAGGCGGAGGAAGCAGGACATAGGCGTGTCTTAACCAAGTTGCCGAGGAATGGCTATGCGCTGCCAGCCCCTTCATCGGATGCCGTTAAACCTGAGAACAACTGAGGGAATTCTGAATCTTGGTATGTCTGCATTTTTTGTTGGTGACCTCTTGCTTTGGGATTCAAAGGATGTATTATTAACACAATCTTTAATGTGGCAATTCAATAATAGCATCCTGTTGTTTATCCTGCTGTTTAATGAGAAGATTAAAGAGAAGCACTAGTTCAACCTTAGAGTTGGGGTTAGGTGTTGAGTTGTAAGATCATCAAAAGAACTATATTTTGACCTGTAACGTCATCCTTTTGATATTTTAGGAACATTTGTGGTAGGAGAGTGACTTTTGATGTGATTACATATCAGATGTTGAAGAATGTAGTTTAGGATGGAAATTCAGTTAACAGTTATCTATTTGTTGCTGGATAAGCTATTCTATATCTAATGTATTTATGTTTGAAGAGGAGAGTTATGTGTTAGAACATGAAATCTTATGCTTTAAGCATGAAGTGTTTCTGCTAGTCATATACATTTGATGTACGATACTTTTTTTTGAAATAGGTAACTTACATTTGATGTACGATACTTGATTACCATGATGTTCTCTTATATCGAATGAGTTTCCATATCGCATTGTTTTCTGCACATACTAGTCAACTTTATGTATACGCTAGTCTGGAGCACTATTTGGCAATTCAACATCCATGTGAAGGCAAGAGAAAATGTTGGACTAAATAGTTAACAACGATGAACCATTGTTATAGTGATTAGTGTCCAAGCTCATTGAGGGAAAAGAAAAATGAGTTCTGATTTTGCATCCTCATCTCCTTGCTAGTAAAATGATTTAGTCTTTCAGGGAGCAAAGAGAAGAGAAGATGTATCAATATCTTCATAATTTGATGTGTACAAATGAGGTTCAGGCTCTAATTCCGGCGGATTATGTTATTTCTTCCCGTCTACCTAATCCTTGGAATAGTCGAGCTGTGTGCAAGCTGTTTTAGACACCACTATCATTGAAAAAACTTGATGCATACAACTGCCGCAACTAATTTATACGTATCAAATACAATACACTTGCATTCCTTAAATATGATGTCCAAATTTGGAACTTACCACTTCTAAAATTAACACATAACACTCACACAATTTCAATCATTCCATTCATTCTCCATGTGACATCTTTCTCGACTAAAGTTTGTTGATTTGTTCCTAAACTATTTATATTCGAAGGTACACTTTGCAGCAAGCATCTCACATAGTTAACATATGCTTTCTTTCCTAATGAGAGCAGAGTGGAAAAGCTGATCTACTCTTGAACCCAGGGGTTTCTCTTCTCAGCTGAAAAAATGATGCAAAAATTAAAAAAATTCTTGATTTATATTGGCTGCAAACAATTGAGATATCATGCTTCTGGTAGTTGCTGCATGATGGTTTGTTTCTTCATTTGTTGGTTTCTCAACAAAAAAGATCAGAAGGTGATAAAATGAAATAGTTGTCTATCTTTTTGTTGTAACATATATTGTTCATTTCCTTTTTAAGCTTCCAGATTACCTTTTATCTTCTTCAAATGTTGGAGGCAATCTTATGATCTAGTACATGATACTGATTACTATTTCGTCATTTACAGTAACATAGCCTCTACTAAGCGTTTTCTTTAGGCATATAGTTATAGTTCCTGAGTTGATATGTCAATATTTGTTTTGTCAGCTAAAGAGAATTCATCTCATTTCATACAGAGTCTAAATCCCATTTTTCCAGAAAAAAAGGCGAGTAGCTATTAGAGATCCCATTAGATGTCATCACTTAATGGATACACTCATTTGACTTCACTAAATATATTATGTATACATCAGCTAAAGTTATTATTATAAAATAGTGAATATGTAAGAAAAATTGTTGCATCTATTGCATGTGACTTTGAACTGGCACATGTTCCAGATTGGAATCTTCACCAGAACAGTGTCACTGCAAAATGCATGTTGAGGTATGCTTTTTTGTTTTGTTTTCTTAATTCTTAAATCATACAGAAAAGAACAAGGAAAAAAATGGTATACCTTGTCTGGGGTAATATTTTGGTGGAGAATGTGGATTTCAAAATTAATGGAAGTAAAAGCATAACAAGACATTATGAAAAGTAACTACAACAAAATAATATGATAATTGAAGTATAAGAGACAACATATAGTAACTGAAACCAAAGGACAAGAAACTATAGGAGCAATACTACAACTACTACTTCTAGCTCCCTAAACTGGCTGTTGCCCAATGCATGCCCCTTGTTGAAAAGGTCACTGAGATACTGAGATGTTGGTCTGCAAAACTTCTTTCGTATGCAGGCAGACTTCAACTCATAAAGGCTGTAGTGTTTGGAGTTCAGACTTGTTGTCCAGGTTTTCGTACTACCCAAGAGGATCATGAAGCTGATCAATGGTATATGTAGAACCTTCGTATGTAGTGATGTTGTGCTATCTAAAAGAGCCCGTGTGTTCCAGGAGAAAATCTGTCTCTCCAAAGCAGCAGGGGGACTAAAGGTCATGCATCTGATCTCCTGGAACAGAGCTGCAATCCTGAAACATTCATGGGCTATAGCAGAAACATTGTTCATTGTGTGGCTGGCAGTGCAAAGGAGGTTTGCTACTGTTGTTAGGTTGCTGAACTTTGCTATACAGGTGCCCGCTTCTTGTGTGTTTCGTGACATGGCTGATGAGACACTGGACAATCTCTTTTTCTCCTGCTCTGTCACTGGATCATTGTGGCAAAGATTAGGCATGGGTAGGTGTTCATAGAGCTACTGGTAGCTGGGCTGAGGTGGTGCAGTGGATGAGCTATTGGGCTAAGAAGAAGTTTGGAACTGGTGCTATTCTGAGCTGCATCTTTCCTATGCTTGTAGCCACTATCTGGAGGGACAGAAACAGAATCAGGTTTCAAGGAGGGTTACAATGCTGACAGGGTTTTGTAGGAATATTGCTATCCATATTCACATTAGAGGGACTGAGCTCAAGCACTGTCAAGCTGTCCTTGGCAATCTCAATGCCATTCCCTGATTGTTGTGAAGAAATACTTAGTTGGAGTGCAGGAAGAAACTATTGGTTGTTCCTTATTACATTTGATGTTTCTTGTTTTGGTGCTAGTACTCTGTAGTTAGGCTTCATGTAATGTTGAATCTTGTTCTATGACTACTAGTATGGATGGATATCGAGAGAACGCACTATTACCTACTAGTACAACTGATATCTGTTGTAAATGGAGATAGTCCAACCGTATCTGCTGATTTTAGTTACGCTTTACTTGACCAAGAGTCTATTGGAAACAACCTCTCTACCTTCACAAGGTAGGGGTAAGGTCTGCGTACACACTATCTTCCCCAGACCTCACTTGTGAGGATTACATTGGGTTTTTTGTTATTGTATAGTATGAGTCTGCAGATAAATAAGGATTAGTATTGTTATCAGAATTCTGTGTCCTCTTGTTTTATATTAATGAGCTCATCTCATGAAGTTGACATGTACATGCTGTTTCTTCACTTCCATTATTGCTAGTGGCAACTCATTTATGAATTTCCATATCCAGGGACCAGGAAGAAGTTCACATGCTAGCCTGCCAAATATGGCAGTATGTGCATCACAAGTGCTACAGCCAAAAGATACCTGCTTCTGGCAAAATGGTGTGAAATTTGAGGGAGGTATATAAGTTTTGAAATGACCATTTTGACCTTGATGGAGCGGAATGGATACTGAGAATTCATATAGTCAAATTCCAATTAGTTAACATTGAGGCGCGGTTGATTGATTGATACAGGAAGCTGTCCCAGCCTGAGGTTGTCTAAGTTCCCAAGTTAGAAATGTTGCAATCTTGGTACAAAACTATGCAAAGTATAGCTGTAGCAAGCAAAACACTTGTCACAAAAAGAATAGGATTTTAATTTAAGATGAGTTGTCGGAATTTGAGACCTCTAGTTGAGAATGATGTGATCCTATCCATTTCATCTTATCTTTGAGTTCAAAAAGACTCAGGGAGAGACAAACTCGGGATTTGAGAGTAGCAAGGGACATGTGACTGCAAATTATAAGATCCTTTTATTTTAAAGAAAGACAAAGTTAAAAATGAAAATCAAAGTTTATTTATATTTATTCAATTTAAACAAAACACATATTTCATATTGTACCATATATATCTCTTTATTCATAAACAATTTCTCTACCTTACAATGCCTTTTCCAACTTCACTTGTAAGATTACTCGTATATTTATATAAATCTCTTTTTAGCCGAATAAATCAAAGATAATCAAGGAAATTTTTTTTTTTTTTAAAAGGGGAATATTCCAAAAACTGAACCATAGGTCAAATTTATGCAAATTATTCATCTAATGAGAATCTTCCACGTGGCATTGAGAAGATCCAACAAATCAGATTTCTTGATTAATTTGGGGCCTCAAATTATTTAACTCCGTGGCAATATCAAGTCCTCACTCAAATAGAAGCATTGAAAAGTAGAAAAAAGAAAAAGAAAAAAATGTGGAAAAATAGTAAAAAATTGGTAGAAGCAAAATTAACCAATTAAATTGGAAATTGAGAAAACCCCTCTTTATTGATTGATCTATATTTCAGAAATGTTGAGTTTAAAAGCAATAAGCTATAGTTTTTGGACTTCCTTTTCATTTTTCAAGAATTCTTGAAAAACCCAACAATGGCTAAACTGACAATAAGAGCAGAAAACAGTAGTTTCTACCATTTTCCTCACTATGGAAACCATAAAGTTTCAATCTTTAACAGTTCTTTAAGACCCCAAAGGTTGAATCTTTTAGCCCAGAAGCATATTTTGAAGTTGAGAGTTTCTTGTAGCATCACAGAGAGGCAAAAAGAAGAAGCTGCAGAAAAGCAGAGAATAGTTAAAGGGTTGAAGTTGAATGGTGAGGTGGGGAAGAATGGGGGATTGATTTCAATTTCTGGTGATGAATTGGGAGAAGCTGGAAATGGGGATAAAGAAGTTGGTTTTGAATGGGGTTGGCCACCATGGAAGAATTTACCTCAGAGATATAAGCTTATTGGAACTACTTCTCTTGCCTTTGTTATATGTAACATGGATAAGGTAATTACATTCTTTTCATGTAACATATTGTGAGATTTTAAGGGTTGTTTGATAGTTGGTTCGAGTTATGCATTGGTTCAAGTTATGCATGTATTAGTAACTCAGAAATTATTTTATGCAAGTAGTTTTTATGCAAGGTTTTAGTTATTCCACCTTCTGTACATAGATTGTCTCATAACTTATACATGTATTAGTTATGCAGATTTCTAAATTACAAACCAAACAGCCTATTAATTTCATGCATGAATAACTTATCTCCTAATCAGCTATCAAACGTGATATAACTCACCTCCAAATAATCTACCAAACGACCCCTAAAAGGTTAGCAACTGAGATATTTGCTGCTTTGTGACATTTTTTATATTTATCCTTTGGAATGAGTGGAAGCTAACTTCCCTATGGATATAGAAGTTTGTTTCAGCTCTTCTTTTTTATATATTAGTAATATCAACTTATAACTCATAATTAATGAGCTGTTGTTCTTTTGGTAAGTTGACTCTAGAATTTGGTCTTGTTGAGAGCTTTCCATTATGTTGTCAGTGTGCAAGTTAATTGTCGTTTAGCTTCGTCTTAAGAGCTAGAAAATTGGTATTTAAATTGCCTTCTAATCGACAGTTGGGATGATTAATTGAGAAAGGAATCTTTTGCTGAACTGAATTACAAAAATTCTTGTGGGAGTGCATGGATACCGGAACATATTTTTTTCGGGTATCTCCTGAGGCCTGACAGTGTGTTAGTCAACTTTGGGGTAGCTCAAGTTGTGGTGCAACCTTGAAGTATCATGACATATATGTACGGCATGCGAATTAGCAAAGTCAAAGTTATCACTTCTGATCTTTGACTAAAGCTCTCGTAAAGTTAGTACAGATTATAGGGATGTAAGTAGCAAATAGGGCAGATCACCATGACTTTGGTACTTGAGTTATCACTATCTATATTCCCTTAGATGTTGAATTCCTCCTTCCTTTGCATATTTGGTGGCCCGATGCACTTCTTACACCTCCCGTTGGTGGTGGAATGCAGAGTATAATACATCTCACTAATGTTACAACATTTATTCAACGTGCATTAGAAAATGCAATATGGAAATTCTGAAACAACAAATGCTTATTTTTTGGTGCTCTTGTTTTCTATTGGCACTGGTTAGCTCGTTCCATGTATCTGGAATTAAATACAACATAACAGGAAAAAAAGGTTTCATTCAAGGTTAGAAGTTGCTTTTAGCATTTCTCTTGTAGGCTCTGGAGGAACTTCTCATGGACCAGAGGGTAGAATGTAATCATGCAAATTGGCATTACAAGCATAACTTCTTTTGTTTCTTTCGAAGTATTCTTCTTTACAATAATATAAGTTTGATAATTTCATTTGCGCTGATGTTTATTTTACTGATAGGTCAATTTGAGTGTTGCCATTATTCCAATGTCGCATCAATTCGGGTGGAATTCATCAGTAGCTGGATTGGTCCAGTCATCTTTCTTTTGGGGTTATGCATTAAGTCAATTGCCAGGCGGGTGGCTTTCGAAGATATTTGGTGGGAGGTAAGTTTAGGATTGTCATGTTTCTGGTGTTGTGCGGTAGATAAGAATCATCCTAGTTTCTGATTGTTGGATAGAAGTAATGTATCTATAGTGTATATATCCTTTTTACAATTGGTGCTATAGTTCATAGATTCACTATATTTCTTTTAGCTTTAAAATGCTGGATCCCTCTCTTTGTTTATGGTATGCAGAATAGATTGGATTGTTTACATGGAGTGCAATCCTTATCCTAACTGTTCAATCTTGAAATTCATCATTTCTGACCAAACAATTTTTTGTGAAGAAACAATCCCGTAATTCAGCAAATGAAACTTTGTTCCTTAGAAGCCATCAACTTTACAAAAGATCTTCCAAAACAACAGGGGAGATAGAGCATGCCAAGTATTACTTCATCATTCATCATGCTTATTTGATTTTTATTTTGTTTGCAGTCGAGTTCTTGAAGTTGGAGTACTAGTCTGGTCTCTGGCAACAATGTTAGTTCCCTATCTTGCAGGGTTTATGCCTGCACTCATCTTTTCAAGGATCTTGGTAATTCGGTCTTTGACTTTTCCTAGGATATTTACGAACTTAAACACTGTATTTGTATCTATGTTCACCAAAGAAGTATTGTTGGTTATTTTGCCTTGCTCCCAAAAACTGATGCTACCTCGTTCTTAATAGCCATGGGGAATTACTAATGCATTCTTCTTCCTAGACTTATCATTTCATATTTTTGTTTTCCCCAAGTGTAGGTTGGGATAGGAGAAGGAGTTTCACCATCAGCTGCCACTGATCTGATTGCCAGGTATGTCTGAACTGAATAATTACTCAGACACATGAATCTGGATGATGGTTTATTATCTTTCACCTGCTTTTGCATGCGCCAAATCACCCCTTTACTAAGGAAATGTTTGTTATCTTTCAGCCAATGCTTCAAAAAAGTTTCTCTATGTTTCTTCTTGTATCTTTTTGTCAAATATAAGGTATAAAATGTTATTTTCTTGAAATATATTGTGCCTCTGAATCGTACTTTGAAATATGACCAGTTTGTATGTCAGTGGGTTCAATTAGTTGGTGTAGCTGAGACAATGCTAGTCAAATGTCAATTCATTTTCGTAAAGCGCTATATATTACACAATAGTATATTTAAAAGGTGAAAAAAAATTTGAGATACAAATTATAGATTGTGTTTCAGAGTCTGAAATTTTAAAGGCAATACTCGAATGCTTATCCAATTATGTTATTAACGTCATCTTTTCTTGCATCATCTGTATCTTTAGTGTATGTATTTCATTTACCATGTTTATTTTGTCACTAAATGTTGTATACAGGACAATACCATTGGAGGAACGTTCTCGGGCAGTATCATTTGTTTTTGGTGGCTTGAGTTTTGGAAGTGTTACCGGGTATATTTAATTGTCAAGTTAATTATTGGTTACGGTCACCAATAGATTTAAATATCTTATATTTTTTTCTATCTATCAAGTGCATATGTCGTTCCGTGTAAGATTAATATTAGAATTCAGGTGCGGAACTTAGTTTCTAGACTTTAGCTTGTCAAACATATACCAAAGAGTTGATGCCTTTCATCAATGTAGACATGCTTTTTAGCAACCTTTCTTAGCTCCTTGTCTACCTTTGTTTTAGAACTTAAAACCACTGTCTCATTGGTATGTCCATGTGTAGATTCTTCCTTTACTTTCTTCATTAACTTAGACGGCTATGCTTAACTCTTTTTGTTCTGTGAAAGATGGGGCACAGTGGAAGAAATCAACGTAGGCAATACCAATTAGTAGGGAATGTGTTCTAGCCATGTTAGTATGTTAATTTTAGGTCCTATACTTTCTAGGAGTCTTTAAACACTATCAGTCATATTAGAGATTCTTTTGATTGGCAACGACTTATTATTGATCAAGTTGATTTCTATGTCAATAGAAAATATAAAGAACTTCTAATAATTTTTATTTCGTACACTGTTAGCCTGAGATGAATTTAAATAAAGAAACATGGTCAGTGTGGATTCATATAGAGACCCTAACTTGTTTGAGATTGAGGCATAGTTGTTGTTGTTGTGTTGTTAAGAAACTCTATGAGATTGAAGATGGAACATAATGCCTCAAACACTCTGGGTTGATAACCTAACTTCAGACACACAGTTGTATCATCTACTCACTTTCGTTTTCACCTTTTTGTTCCCGTTGTTTAGGCCAGTAAAATGTTCAGCTTAGCAGGGAAAGGCTTGCATTTTTCCTCCGGACCAGAACATCATAGACAACCTAGGTTTATCATGTCAGACAATTCACCAATCTAGGTGGTATTTACTTCCAATTTGTGAGATTTTATCAGTATCAATAATGACTCTGACAGTCAGCTGCAAGACGTCGTACCTCTATTGTATTATTTAGCAAAAATCGTTGCCTTCAGTTTGACTTGATTTCTAATAGTTTCTCCCTAGGGCTTAACTTCTAATTAGAGAATGTGATACTATACCTAATTATCTTTGAGGATAACGTTCAGCAGCAATAAATTATTCTTCATTTATCACATGAGCTGTAAAACATTTCCCTATTTAAGCAGGTCGGCGTCTTGCTTTTACTTTTTATGTTCTTAATAACTGCAGAAAGTGCAAAACGCATCAAGGAAAAGGTGCTAAAGCAAATAGCTGGTCAATTGTTTAGATTCTGAAGTTTGTAATAAAACCTGCACTAAATCTAACAAATTTTCAGTATAAATTCAACGTCATGTTTATGTGAAACTCATTTTTACTTCAATACTAGATTCTGTTGAAGTAGTTTGGTGATTGTCTAAGATTTTCTGAATTTGCAGACTTCTGTTGGCTCCTCCATTGATCCAGAACTATGGCTGGGAGTCTGTGTTTTACCTGTTTGGCTTTCTAGGCATAGCTTGGTAAGTTGACCTCCCTCCTTCCTCCTTCACCAACAAATTTTTTTTAAGTAGATCACTCTACACCCCCTAAATGTTGACAACCTATTTTTAAGTGCTACCTATTTGTTGTTGTCATCCCCATCTTTTCGACACCACTTACAGAATGTTGCTACTCTTAGTTGAAGTTTTCCTTTCCTCTTTTTGTTAATCCAAAACTCCAAAGATGTTGAAGATAATTTTCCTTCCTTTTACTATGCTTTGATTTTTTTGGTTTCTGGTTTCCATCTTGAGCATTATTTTTGTTGTTGTTACTGTTCCACTTTTGCGTATGCTTTGTAATGAATTCTATATTAGTTGTCATGCCTGATTTACTTCTATATTTCATCTTTTAAAACTGTTTTGCTATGCGTTATTTGAGTTGAGGATCTTTCAAAAATAACCTCTCTTCCTCCACGAGGTAAGGGTAAGGTCTGCGTACATTCTACCCACCCAGACCCCCCACCTTGTGGGATTACACTGGGTATGCTGGTGTTGTTGGTTTTCATCTTGAGAAGAAATTACCTTTTGAGTTTCATTATCCCTAACTTAGTTATTTACAAATTAGAACATTTAAACCAATTCTAACTTGATATGGTTATCTTTGCATATTTCAGGTTTTCGGGATTTCAATTGGTTAAAGAAGATCGGCCCTGGTCTTTCACAGAACCCATGTCGTGTGAGTAGAGTTTCTTGTTTCCACCGCCTTGTTGACATTGTGGTAAAATCTGATCTAGTCGAGTACTGATAGTATTAACTTAAACTTTTTCTGCTTTTGTATTGCTTTGGACTGTGTTTCTAATTGCGCAAGCAATATGTTTTGCACATTTACAGGGCCACCGTCTTTTTCTAGAAATAAATCATTGGGAGAGTTGGGCACCTCTCTAAAGGTATGCGTACAGAGTTCATTAAATATCTTTTGGCTGTCAGAACACAATTTATAATAGAGAGGTTAAACTAAATGTAACACTAAGTAGAACTGGAATAATCTTTGAAACTCTGGAGTCCCCGCAAGCTCTGGGTGGTGCTATTTTTTTCCGTGTTCAATGTCTAACAACGTCAGGCTCTAATTTTTGCAATGACTTCATTTGGTCCAGGGAAAAAAAACTTATTTTGGATTAGTGCATTAATATTGAAACTTTTACCAATTGAGCCTTAATTGTAGGATGTGCCATGGAAGGCATTTTTTAGAAGCAAGGCTGTATGGGCAATGATATATACACATTTCTGTGGGAGTTGGGGCCACTATACTTGCTTATCTTGGCTTCCTACCTATTTCAGGTAAATGTTGCCATGATTGAGCTTAGTCTTACAAGCTTTTCTTTGTAATGTTCCATTTTTCTTGTTTGTGACGTATATGCCATGGTTCATAAATGACAAATATTGAGAATGTGTGATCATGTTGAATGAAAATGATAAAAGACAAGGTACGACAATAATTGTTCATTAGGTGCTATAAATTGGATGTCTGCAGATGTCAGTTTTACTGGTCCGCCTATCAGCTTCGAAGTCCAATTAAAATTACTTACTTAGAAAGCTTATAAAGAACAAAGCCGAAAGAGAAAAGTTGAAAGTAAGGGTAGTAAACCTTGACTTTATAGTACATGGTGCTAAGTCCAACAACGGTGTAAGATTGCATCATGGAAAGGTATCCAGAGGATTCAACCATTTTTCTTTTCAAAGATGTTTTCTCCATTTTGTTATGAAGGCTGCTCAGTGTTGGTTCAAGTAAAAGCGCAAGTAGATATCTCCGATTTATCGTAACTAATTAGCTATGGTGATAAGCAACTTCCTCAGCTTATAGAGTTAAATTAGCAGGAAAAGGAATTCAACTATTTACAACAATCCATTTTTTTTTGGTAAGTTGATAAATTATACCCAATATATTTCTTGTTTGAGTTGAGAGAAAAAGTTATGTACTGTAGTGGAATTTGGATTCGGGCCTCATTTAGAACTGCGATGTGTTTGAGAAAATAGGAATAAATGTTATTAGCAAGAAAAACACTTACCGCTGAACCCATAATATTTCTGAAATTCTGGGTTCAACATGTAATATTTTCTTGAAGTTTTAGTAACTTCTACATGTATATCTATATCTATATCTGTCGAAAATAGTGGGTTTGGTCGAACCCGTTGTTTACATGCTCCATTTTCCACTGCACAGCCATGGACCCGTGGTAGTGTCACATCCTACTTGTAATTGTTAAATTACTTTAACTCGTCTCCTATTGTGAGACATATATATCGGCTGCATTTACATTTTTATTTTAAAGAAAATGTTGTGTTTTGTAAAGCTTGAATTTCCCATTTGCATCCCCTGCAGTGAGGAGCTGAACCTTAATCTGACAGAAGCGGCATGGGTAAGTCTACTGTATCTTTGCTTCCCATGTATAGTTGCTCTCCTCATCTTCACGTGTCTGTCTACTCTCTTTTGTCATTTTGTTTCCTGTAACAATGCCTCGGCTAACTTAACGTCTACTTGATGCCCTTTTAGTGAAACAACTTACTTCATCAAGAAGACGAAAATTTAACATGAAATAACTTATCTTATGTAATTTCCATATACTTTTAGCAAGTTCCTGCCAAATCTAATCAATGTTAGACTTGATTTATCAAGACTGTTTATGCAACTAAGGATATCCTCACAATTGTTTAACTTACATTTCAGGTCTCAGTTGGCCCTCCATTAGCTTCAATTCTTGTTACCAGCATTGCATCACAATTTGCCGATAGCTTGATTTCCAAAGGGGTTGATATATCCCTGGTACTTGGACTTCTCCTTATTTCCTCTATTCCGGAATGTTATTTTTCTGGTCTAACCTTAGTTTTTCATGTCTCTTTATATCGTTCATAATATAAAACATGAGGATTAACTTGTTTGGATCATACCTTCTATATAATAACCCTTCAAACAAGAGTAGATAATGTTCAACATGTTTGAAACACGTGAGATCTTTTTGATTGTACTAGAACGAATTGCGTTCCTTGTAATTGGAAGTCACACTCTTTATGTTGATAGGATGATCCACCCTCCCCAGACCCACTTTTGGGATTGCACTGGGTATGTTGTTGTAGTTTTTCTTAATTTTTGTTTCAAGGAAGCTGCATGCCTTAGGATGAATACAACAATATTTTCTTAGTGCTAGTAGTAATGATAACTTTCACGAGGACTCTTCAAAAGTCAAATGGCTTTCATTTGTAATATTCGAGATGCTCAAATCACTTACCTACCTTATGGGAGTTGCTGGCCAAAATTTATAACCTGGTGCTCAAATGGTATAACAATATTTTAGATGGAGGGTATAATATTAGATGGGAGCCTTGGAGCAATTGTAAAGTTGTTCCATGTGACCTATAGGTCACGGGTTTGAGCTGTGGAATCAGCCACTGATACTTGCATCAGGGTAGGCTGCCTACATTACATCCCGTTGGTCTGTGGCCCTTCCCCTGACCCTGTGTGAACATGGGATACTTCGTGCATTGGGCTGTCCTTTTTATGTAGGGTATATGAACTGAATTTGTTAGATTGATCTCCTTTCAAAGTTTAATTCTTTTTATCACCTTTCACTTGCTATTGTTTCTTATAACTTGTAATATTATAATATCACAATGAAGATTGAGATAACTTGACAAGAAGGATACTCACTCTCTGTTACTCATCGGAACTAACAGGTCCGGAAAATTTGTCAAACAATAGCCTTTTTATCACCGGCTACCTGTATGATTCTTTCTTCGTTGGACTTTGGTTTGCCTCCATGGGAAGTAGTAACAATCCTCACCGGTGGTTTAGCCCTATCAAGTTTTGCTTTATCAGGTATTCTTGTTGAATTGCTTTCGGTCTCAATAGTTTTGAACTAATTTTTAAAGATGCACTCTTCCTCATCTGCTGCTATCAAATAATCTCGTCATTTCCCCCCCTTTTTGTAGGCCTATATTGCACCCATCAAGATATCTCACCTGAATATGCAAGCATTCTTCTGGTATGTATGATAGAAGACCAGCATTTGTTTTATACATCGGTGTTCATGTTTTTCGATGCAATACAAGTAAAAAGACAACATGAAAAATTCTATGCTGCTAAGTATCCATCTCTTAATATTCTGTGTAGAAGCTTGGAGTTTGTTAGTAAGGTGTTGCTTAGCTAGTTTCCATGAGACGTAGACTGATAATCTGAGCGATGACTATTATTCTGATGTTTTTCGTTCAAATTCAAGTCTAGATTATATTGGTTCCTGCTTTGAGAAACTGTACATGCAGGGCATTACCAACACTGTTGGAGCAGTTCCTGGAATTGTAGGCGTCCCTCTAACTGGTTATCTTCTTGATTCAACTCACTCATGGAGTGTAAGCTACCTCACATTCCTCCATAATGCCCTTATACGCCTCGTGCACCTGAAAATGAGTTCATAACTAACTCTTACAACTTGTTTTTGTGCAGATTTCTTTGTTTGCACCATCGATTTTCTTCTACCTCACTGGAACCATCGTGTGGCTGGCATTCGCGAGCAGTAAGCCACAGAGCTTCTCAGAGGGAGATTGACTGACCTTGTTAGTCAGCGTCGAATCAATCAGCTAGCATACATATATACCAACAGTTTTCAACACAACATTTTGTGTTCTAACCCAAAGTTTTCTCTTTTTGTATGTATAATAGTCAGGACTGATAGGACTTTTGCAACTTTAGTGAAGAGTTCCTTACATTATGTAATGTATTTTTTGTTTGATAAGTTACATAATGTAACTTTTTCATATTGTAGTTATTATATACTCAGTAGATGTATATTGAAGATCATTAATACTTGTGGTTTCATCCATATATTCATCAGTAGCTTTTCAGAGTACTTTTTAGCATTTAAAAAAAAAAATCATCCGGTGTCTGGTATCCATATTGGAATTATTATAGTATATTCATATATTATCATGATATTAAAATAGTATAATTGAGGAACAATCGCTATTTCACCAAGTCAATTATCAATCCGAGAGATTTTTAAAATCCTCAATGATACAATAATATGTTATCTGCAGGCATCGAAATAGCAAATAAGTGTGGATTGTAATTTAAATGAAGTCATGTTTTTTTTAAAAAATATTACTGAAAAAATACTTGAAATATATGATGAAAAAAAAGTCAAAAAATTATCATCAAGAAAAGAGAAACAATTACATGATAACTTAAGTTTGAGGGCAAATATTAAACTATATTTAGAGATATTGTACAATAATTACATTCATTCTACTTTAAAATCTACCTTGAGAATAATCTATAACATTTACATTTTTAATTTTTTTTTTTTTAGTATCTATAAGGAAGATAACATATTTTTCTTATTTTATTCTTTTTAGTTACCTTAGAGTATTAACAATGATATATTTTTTCTAAAAAAAAGAAAAATTAATGCAATAAATTACATTACATTGTACTTATTCTATTTTTTTTGTTTTGTTTAGAAGAAAATGAAGCAGAATAGTTATGAAAGTAATACATGGTCTGTAGCAAGAATAAAATGCTTATATTTTCTCTTAGAGAAAAAAATAATACATGTATCCTCTTTACATATTCTATGTGTAACTTATTGGTTCAATAATCAAATGGAACTTTTTTTTTTGGCTCCACACATAACACAAACTCAGCTACAAGCAGGCAAAAGTACATATGGTATATGTACAAATACAATAGAGAATGGTGCGACGGTTATCGCCTCTGTTGAATTGACATATATAGGCTCAAATGTAGGTATATTTCCAGATGAATCTACAATCAGTGCATTTCCATTTAGCAGCATTGTCTGGCTTTGTAAATTTCCATCTTTTGCTGTTAAATGGTATTCTTCTCTTGTGTTTGATGCTATTTTGCTACTTCTAGGCAGTTTGATTGAACTCTTTCTGTGGTTATGATGATGTCTGTGTTTTCGTCGATGTAACATAGTACCGTTAAAATCAACTCTGGCATGAATGGTGGTGTTGCCATCAAGGTTGATCAACAGTAATGTGATACCTTGCTGCAAATGGAAGTTGTTCTTTACAGGTCAAATGTACAATAAATATAGCTAGTGTGACACTATGCAGATAAAGAATATACTTGTTTCAACTTACAGATTGTTTTGCACAATGAGTGTATGCACGTATTTTCTTTGTCCCTGGGAAACTCGTTGCCAAAACGTTTCTTCCCATCAATCGGTGCCAAAGAAGAGCACTGCAGTAAGGAACGTTGTATTCATTAAACGATAACTAAAGATGATAAGAGATAATCTTATCTGCTAATGCCATGTAACAATAAGAGTTACTCCATTTGTTCCATTTTATATGACGTTTTCCCCTTTTCAGTGAGGGGTAGATTATTGTTTTCTTTTTCAAAACATTAGAGTTGTATGGAGATAGTAGTATGAGGTAAGAGGTTTTTCGATTTTCTCTTATCTATCGGGAGTTCCAAGACGAAGACACCTTTCTTTAGTTGGAATGCTTTAACTTTAAACTTTCTATTTTACCTATAATGACATGCTCTTATAACCATATAAAATGTCATTGCGTGTTTAAGAAGACAAATCTAAGGGTAGTTTGGGTACGTGTCAAAAGTCTCTTTTCTTTTTTTTTAACTTTGTGTCTAGTCAAACGCTGGCATATAAAATGAAACATGAGGAGTACTGATTTACCTGTAGTAATCTGGATTTGGTACAAAGGTAGTCGTATTGAGTAAACCGTAGTTTCCACCAATCAATGTCTGTCGACAGTATGTCTTGGTATCATAGGCAGCTGACATACCAAGCTGGTCCAAATACCTATAATTGTTTCCAAATTCCGAACACATCACTACTCAGGATAAAGTATATACAACCATACAACCAACAGAGTGGGACATTATAGTTGAGTTTTATTACCAGAAGCTAAAAGCAAAGGCATTTGTGACATGGTTGCGGCCACTGTTGTAAGCCCCTCCAGCCTCACCAACCCACGCAACCACTGAACTATCAGATGTCTTGAGGATATTCTGAAGTTTGTTAAATGTATCAGCTTCTCCGTCGAGATAAGATGGATCGAGGATTTTTTCAAGAAGGTGTTCATCTCTTCCTAAGAAACAAGAGCAAGATCCCATATAACGTCGTTGATATGATGTTAAAATTACAGAACCAGATCATATTCAGGTTTTGCTATAACATACCTGGACCAAGATTATATATGTGGTGAGTTGCCACATCAAATGATGCCCCGGCTTTATTTACTACTTCCCTGAACCAGCCTTCATCAAAGAAACCTCCCGGTGCCAGGACCAACGGTTTGGTTTCAGAATTCTTGTACGCATCTTGCACTATTTTGTCCAAGGCAATAGTATCAGATGCATATTGATCTGCTGCAACTCTGGTTCCTACTCCGCTACCACTTAATTCGTTCCCTAGAAAGAAAATCGACAACATATGTTGAACAGTTCTGCTTAAGCTGTAACAATATGTTATACTCCCTCTGTCTAAATTTATGTGACGATGTTTGATGGGCAAGGAGCATAAAAAAGGAAGATTTTTGAAACTTGTGGTCTATTGGGACTAACTAAAAAAGAAAGAGTCACATAAATTGGGATAGAGGGAGTAGCATGGTTTTATAGACATGTTTTTGCATGAAACTTATACTATAGTCCTTACCGAGTTCCCAACCATGGATATCATATCCCTTTTTGACAGTATAACGTATAAGCGATTCAGCATTGCTTGGATCCCAAGCTCCGACAGATAAACCATCAGGGTGTACCGATCTTCCATAAAGAGCATTTAATCCAAAAATTATACTAGCCCTGAATGAAACACAAGTTGTTGATAAACTTTTTTCAGTCTTATAAAGAAAATGACAGAAGTCCAAACAAAAGGAAATAAAAGACGCGATTTTTACCCAGATTTATTAAAGAATGCATTGAGTTCATCCCATCTAGACAAGGGAAGGCACCCTGGAGTAAAACTAAACATCTCTGTTGTGTTTCTAACAAATGAGACACAGGGCTGTTTATGATCTTCAGTTTGGTATATGACTTTGTCTTGCAAAGTTCCGCCCAAACGAATCTTTAATGGTGAGAACGCTGCAACATATTATAACAAAGAACACTAAGGGCCTCTAGTTTGTTACAGAAACATACAAATATGTGAAAGCTCTTAAGTTATAGGAGCTAAGCTATATCACCATACCTTTTATTGCATTGAGAAAAATAATGTTGTTAAGATCCTGCACATAGACGAGATGATTAGATGGAAACTACTTAGTAAGGCATCACAACAACAACATACCCAGTACAACCCCACAATTGGAGTCTGTGAAGGGTAGAGTGTATGCAGACCTTACTCCTACCTCATGGAAATATAGAGGTTGTTACTAAAAGACCCTAGGCTCAAGTAACACATAACAAGACCTTTCTTGTATGATAGCTTTTCAAGATTTAAGGCAATTGATAGATACTTTACCAACAACATACCCAGTGTAATCCCACAAGTGGGGTCTAGGGAGGGTAGATAGAGAGGTTGTTTCTGATAGACCCTCGGCTTAAACTAAAGCATTTCCAAGTAGTTTGAAAAAGGGAATCCAAAAATTAGAGCAGTAACAACAACGGAATAATGGGAAATGGAGAGTAGTACAAGTTGTCAAGTTATGTTCACTGTGAATCAAGAGAACTACTTTGAGTAATGTCAAATGCAAAAACCAAATTAACCACCTTTTTGTTTCTATGTTTAATTTGACATCTTGTTGCCCAGAGTGAATCAAGTCATTCTTGTTTTCTTTTTCCTTTCTATTTTGGCTCTTTCTAGGAGTTGGTTCTTTTTTTTTAATAAATGAAATCATACCAAACAAACAACAAGAGTAGAAAAGTAGAAAGCAGAACAAACTAACTCCAACAACAAATTGCATTTATACTCTATCTAGTACAAATTCAAGAAGAAATGCAAAGGTGAAATTCATATTCATATATTCATGGGTGGCAAAGCAGGGGCAGAGCAACAAGCCTGTCTACGTTCCGGTAGAGCCTAGTAACAAACTGTGTTTGTGTGTTTGAAAATTCACTTAATATGTATTAAAATTTTATCTAGAACACGGTAAGCTGTCTTTTCTAGAATCCAGAACCCATAACCTAAAAACTTAGCTCCGCCCCTACCAAAGATATCGTTATTAAACAATCCCATGTATTTAAAACAGAGGATTAACAACTACAACTATAGCATCATAATTGCATTTATACACAATAAAACTGAAGGGGCGGAGCTATAAGTCTGTCTACCGGTTTGGCAGAACCCAATAACATTGGCCTAGACTCTATACTTGAGTATGAAAAATTTATCCAGAACTATCTTTTCTAGAATCCAGAACCCATAAACTCAAAATCTTAGCTCCGCCTCTAGCAAAGATATCAACATTTAACGATCCATGTACTTAAAACAGAGGATTAACAACTAACACTATAGTATTATAAATTAACAGAACTTACACAATAAGACCATTTCTACCTAATAAAACTGAAAAAAAGAAAAACTAGCATAAAAGAGAAATACATTCAAGAAAACTATACCATAAGAGCATTTCTACACAATCCAACAACAACAACATACTCAATGTAATCTCACATGTGGGGTGTGGGAAGGGTAGGATGTAGCTTGTTTCCGATAGACCCTCGGCTCAAAAAAGTGTAAACAAAACTAGCAGAAAAGGGAAATTACATTCAACAAAACTACACCATAAGTCCATTTCC